TAAATGGAAGAATGATTAACAATAAATTATGAGGCGATGAATCATACATCTTTGGTTCGGTGATGAATGACTTTGGTCTCCACCCCACCCCCCTCATGAATGTTGAAATCATTTATGCCAATTAACTTTCAAAACTCTGATAATAAGTTAGACTTGACCCCCTTTCGTCCTTCTTTGCTACTAATGATATGAGAGAACATGTTACAACATGTAAGGACTGGAGCTTCAAGGTCTTGTCAGTCTTTACTTAACTGACTGTGCGCTTCAAGAAGTTCATTCAATACCTTGGTGATCGACAACAGAACAAGATACTTCAGAACAAAGAAATCACTTGAAGTCGTAGAAGGTAGGTCACAATTTATTTTTTTTTGAGATTCGTTAAAAAAAATGGAATCCTTAAGAAAAAAGTTTCATTACCTTTACTTCTTGAGTCTTAAAATAAGGGTTACACTGAGTACTGGACTCGGTCTCGCCTCCATGATTTCGTCTCTTCATCTTGATGAGCGAAGAGGAGCAGGATTTAAATATTTTCACATTATGTTTTTATGCCATTTTCTTTTTCCTTCCTTGTTTTTTCGGCCGTTACGTTTCTCAAACGAAATGGATGAATTTTTTAACTGCAATGCTTTTTAAAACAGTTTTCCCTCAAACCTTTTCTTAATCAAATAATGTTGTTGTATTCTTAACTGCATGAAATGTTGGTTGACTAAAACGTTAAAAAACATGCCCATTTCGAAATAGCCATGAGCGAAGAGAAACGTATAAGGCGGGATGGAAAAACTTTTTATAATTTTTTTTCTTTTCCAGGGCACACTTAACTTTTGTGACTCTCATCATGCATTTAAACTTCTTAGTGATCTTTTCATTTTTTTATTTTTTTATATATATTTTTTAGTTTATTGTGTTTTATTTTAGTATGTGGTGGAAGTTATAAAATAGATAACTAAAGACCAAACTGGTGAGAGGCTTTTTGGCTCTCCAAATGAATTCCTTCCTTGAAATATATGGCCTAATCTAATCGAATGTTTAAAAACAAGCTGTTGACGGTCCCTATCAACATGAATTCCGTTTTGTATTCGTTAAGCTTCAATTTATCGATTAATATCTATGCCCTGATGGCTTTAACACGTTGTTCTTATAGTCTGTTGTCGCATTTTCCCTCAGCATACAGTCAATAACGTTGAAAAGATAAATAAAGCTGAGTATCATAAGCATAAAGTTGCTTAAGAAATTCTGTACATGTTATTAATTTGAGGCGTTAACGTTGGACAAGGCAGAAGTTGTAAACCTCTTTTACTCTATTTCATCAAATTTTCATTCACAGTACAAAATGAGGTTCGTTGTGGTCGTGTTTCTCGTGTCCTTGGCTGTGTTCGTTTCTCCCGCCATCAAACCGGCGTGTGGACAGAAAAACAAGCCAGCCGGACAGGTAAGCTAATGATGTCATTAACAATTGAAATTGAAGCCCAAACGATTGGCTGTTGACTTGAAGAGCAGGAGAGCAAGGGGCTCCTCGTTGTTTAATTTAGTCAAAACCTACTAATTAATCACATAAATGGATTAAGATAATTGTGAAATTAGGTTCAAAACGTGACTTAAGGACGGTGCCATGCTAATAGAGAATCAATAATTTTTTAAATGACTATGCGAGTTGTATTAACCTATCAAAGGGTTGTAAAATTCTCTTAGAAAAGTAGGGATCAATGAAATAATAATGATTTTACTAACACGAGAGAAAACGATTTTTTCCAAAAGATTTTGATAAATTTTCATCTAAATTCACCTAAATTACTGACACTTTGTGTTCTTTACTGGAATATACCACTACTACCATGACTCTAAGGGAGCGGTCATTAATTATGGGGGGAGGGCCGGTAAATTTATGGGGAGGGCTGCGATTTTTTGGGCGCATGCTAGAGGGAGGGTCGCAATTTTCTGGGCCCCCGTATAATCCACAAAAACCTCCTGTTCAATATGTATCCCACCTATAAGCTAGTTACAGAGTATAAGCCTCTGACTTTTTTGGTATGCAGACAAATTCTATAGATTTTATTCAAAACATTATTTCATAAGAGTAATAACACGTCCAAACCATTTTTTTCTTCATATGCATGTTTTGGTTCTACACACTATAAACTCGCAAAAATGTAAAAATATCTATGATAAATTGTAATATAAAGTATATATAAACTATCAAAAAATTGAGATGCGATTGTTGTACTTTCATTGCTGCTACCATTATCAACATCAACACTATCATGACCATCTATTAAAATGAACATCTAAATCCACATTCTTCG